CGCAAATTACATCGTGGGACTAACCTGTGAACATCTCCCTACGTGTAAGTCAACCTCTCCACATTTTCTTTTTGTTATATATGCACCGCCTTTATATACTTCGTAGCGATAGCAAACCCCGTTCCGGGTAGGTATTGTTCTCTTCCCGTTTCTTCAGTTTGTGTTTTGTATAATAATTGCGTATAAAATTTTCTGTTTAGGATTAGTTTAATAAATATGTTACTATGTAAATAGACATGCATACTAGTCTAGGTGTTACCTATAATGACACGATAAGTACTGTGACTGAGCAAAAGAAAAAGTCTTCATATGTTCTACAATACTTTTCATTGGTACTATATCTGCTAGGCAGCGGAAAAGGAGGAAGGAGGTGAGAAGAAAAATGAGGGATGAGGGAATTCAACTTCTTACTTTGTGCAGCAAATCGACCTTGTGAAGAAAATCGAAAATTAACTTTACAGGGCCAAGCGGAGAACGGGCGAGCTGGGGTGGAGGAACAAGAAGACACACCAAAAGTCGCAAAAAATCTGGTTGGACAAGTGCACATTTTTCGTGAAGGGGGTGGGGGAGCGAAAACTATCCTGGAAATGAAATAAGTGACTAGATTCGGAGATGCTGGAAAAGCGTCAAATTTAAGAAAACAGAGCAAGGGAACGATATCGTGACCTAGTTCTTGCAAAAATTTCGTTCAGATTTGTAAATTTTGTTCAAATGTGGACACTGTTTTAGATTTTTACCACAAGAAAATAATATTCATGCAGTGGTTACTTTTTCACTGCCCTTGGGAGAGGATGGAGTTGGAGGGGCAAAGTCCAAGGGTTATTATTTATACTTAAAAATTTTGTGTATGGACTAATGACAATGTAATTAGATTTTATCTGAGCTGATTTCCAGTGAATTTTACTTACGACCACTCGGTGTCTTTGTTAATCCGGTCAGTCCGAATTTGGCCGTTTCTGTATAAACTGGAATATCCCGGGCTTCAGGGGCTGATTTCTGCCTAATGTAGTGAGTTAGTTTTGAAATGTATGGCTTGCCTCCTTTTTAGCTAATGGTATTAGCCAGAGGATCACTGCCAATTTCGAAAATTGCGTCCAGAATCACAGGGTAGGCAAATGATCTGAAAGAAAAGTTCATTTTTTTAAATTAGCCAATAACGCGTCCCCAGTATTTAAGCTTTCTATTTGTTGTAGTGTTCTGGGAACCAAAATAAGTGTAATTTTATCAAAAATTCTCTTTCTTATATATAAATGCTAAAAAAGCAGATTAATTTGTGTGCAGGCTGATCGTGCTGGTGGACGTAACACTGATGGTGCGGTGCCACCACGTGGCAGTCGAGGAGGCCGAGGTACACCTCGAGGTGCAAGTTTCGGTGGTGGCCGTGATGGGGGCCGAGGTGGCGGATATTCAAGTCGAGCACCACCACCACCACAGCAGCACTACCAGGATGAAAGGTGAGCACTGAAGATATGAGGCCGAAGTCCTACAAACTTATTTTTCATTTCGAGGAAGTCCCCTTCAATTACTATGGAAATTTTCATGATGCTGTTGAAGGTACGATAACAGAAGAACGATGCAGCAGGACGAGAGCGTAAGGCGACCTGGAGGGTACCGTGGTGGCCGAGGAAGAGGCGATCATCAGTCCGGTATGAACAGTCATCGGGGAGGACACGCCGGTTTTCGGGTCTTCAGGAATTCACCAGCGAATGCACGAGGTACTCGTCCTCAATGTTCTTTTTCTTTTTTTGAAAAAGCTCAGTTGTTCCTGAATAGTGCGCTAGTAGTGTCACATTAAGATAT